TAAATAATTGCCTTTTTTAAACCATTGACATTTGAACATTGTATCTCTTCTGCATAAACACGTCTTACTAGTACTCCCTACATGTTTTTGATGGGGTTTAAATTGAGTGAGAGCACTGGCCGTTCCAATAGTTGAATTTTCTTGCTGATGAACCATTGAATATTTTACTTTGCTCTATATATTGGAGCATTATCTTGCTTGTAAATAAATTTCGTATTTTCAAGTTTTCGTGAAATATCTTTCAAATGGTCTTCCAACAAATTTTTTATATCTTTCAGCATTTAATTTATTAGTAATAAAACCAATCGTACTTTTTTCAAAATAACCAAACGCACCCCTAATCATAACTCCTTCGCCTCCCAAAGCTTTTCTTTTTAAAAATATTTTTTTTTTATTGGACCACACAACTTTTTGCCATTCATTTTTTACAAATCATGTGGTCCTTGACCCCTTAAAGACGAATTTTTTTTTTCAGCACAAACTGAATTACATTTGTGCGATAGTTACAACAAGCTAACTATTGACACAGGTCTACAGTTAGCGAGCTGTAGATTCCGGTCTTCTACCACTTCAATGCTTTGTGCAATGATTCCTTGGATCATTAACAATATGGTTAACCAAAGGTGGTGTGCGTCTCAGCTTGCATGCGATTGTCCTGTTTAATAAATGCAAGGACCTGTATGCCTTAATCTTTTTTTTATCGGAGAGTAAAGAAATTTAATTTGAAAATGGAATTAATTAATTATTATATAGCTTTTGGTGTAATTTTATTTTATTTTATTCTTTATTTTATTTTTTGGTGCCCCAAGAAGTTTTTACGGTCTTATCACAGAGCACCCCGGAAGAGCATTTAATAGGAAGTTTACGCCTCCTTCCCAACCGATATCGCAAAGCTTGCCCAGAGATGGGGTTTGAACCACGGATCTTACGCTTCTGAGGCAAGTGCGCTTCCATTGCACCACGGCTGCTCATTTAGATAACGAGGTTATAATTATGAACCACGGGTATGAACGATTTAATAATTTAATTTAATTAAACTATTATTTACCTCAGATTCAACTCAATTAAACTATTATTTACCTCACTTCGCAAAGGTATTTGATATTGTGCCCCATAAAAGAATACTAATAAAACTTAAATGTTATGGGATTTCATTTATAAAATATACCTTTAAGTATCAATGTCGCTTTATTCAAGTCGTAAAAACATAATATAAATACAAATAGCAGAAGCAAAGAAGAAGACATAATTTGTCTTATCACCAAGCCAAATTTATACCATATATATAAAAAAACAAAATTTAAAAAAACGTAACACTTTATAATATAAAACGTATTTCTAAAGACTTTATAAATAAAAATCATAGGTTCTAATGTCCTACTTTAACTTTTTGTTTTTGTATTGCTTAAGAAAAATTTTAAATACGAAGATAAAATATTTAGTTTAATAAAAACTATATTATTAAAAAGCATACGGGCAATTACGCATTACCCTGAAGCTTTCTTTTTTATACCAGCATATACCTTGAATTATCTAGAGAATTTTTATAAATAATAAGATTTTATAAAAAACGAATTAAATCAATAACAAGTGACATGATCCCTCTAAAATCGTCATGCTAGTAATGAAAAACCTCCAATAGCTAAGTTTATCAATAGCAACCATTAATACTTTAAAAAAGCTGCGCACTAAGCGTTTCACCAATAGTTTTTCGTTTTTTTTAGAAAAGGTTAATTGGAAAATGTTGTCGGAGTTACGTTGAAGTTTCTTGATTTCTCTTGACTTCCGTAACTCTGAAAAACCGAGAAAAATCCGATGTGAAGTGATTTTAATTGGATCTATTATCTAACAGCCGTTCTCACTTCTTTCCGTTGAGCTTACGGAGCTTTTGTCTGAAATTTTATCACAATATTTTTAAGTAAAGAAACGACGAAAACTTTATTAAAATTTGTTTAAATAAAACTAATACTAATAAAATAAATCATCTATTTTAAAAAATTTTATTTTTAAAAATTTATTTATTAATGTAGTTACAAAAAGAAATTTTTAACTAACGCTCTGTTAAGAATACAACCCCACCGAGAATACGGCCCCTGGCCGTATTCCTATTATTTTCAGTATTCTTATTATTCTCGTATTCTCAGATAGTTAAAGTTATAATTCAGAGAGCTTTTGTAAAGACAAGTTCAGCTCATTAAGAGCATCATAACCCACGTTAACGGATCAAGAGTAAATGAGTTTGGACAAGAACAGAAGTAAATAAAAATTAAACAAGGAAAGTAGTTGTGTTAGAAAGATAGGATAGAAAACAGCGAGCATATATTTGTAGTTTAAAATGTATTTTAGCATTTCCAGTTGTAATTTTTATGTTGATGAAGTTATTAATCGTAATTTGATCAATTGCATTATTTTTTATTATTTGAGTCTGTTTATTTATGAATATAATTTTGAAAAAAGTTCTGATGTCTTGTCGTATTCAAGAAAATTCAGATCGCCAACAGTGTAAACGCATTTGCTACGTAATTCTTCTTTTATGATTATGCTTTTAATTTATACCTCATGCGTCATAAAAAAATATTCTTATTGTTCAACTAAAGTAATAGGGGATTATATTTTTCTCTCCCAAAAATAATTACTAAAGTAATTAATTCTAAATAAGCTTATTTAGTTACAAAATTAATTTAAATTTAAATAAATACTAAAGCGTGTACACGAAATAAATGTGAAAGGATAAGTACGTCATTTTTTTTTCAGTGGTTATATTAAAATCTTTTTAATTGTTTTGTATTTTGTTTACAACGTGTTGTGGTTTTAAAAAAAGTTATTAGTGTTTTGATTTAACTCAAAATTATTTTTAAAAATGACAAAAGAAAAAGACATAAGAAAAAAAATAAGCACAAATATTTGGAAAATCCTAATAGTAGCTACAATTCGATAGCAAAAGCGTTGCAAATACGTCCCATACATTGTTAGCAGTGCCGTGCCAAAAGCCCTCCAAACCCCCCGGTTGGGGGGGGGGGGGCTCGGAATTTGAAGGGGCCCTTTTTGAAAATGAAAATTATGATATAGGTGTTTTTTATTTATTTATAGTATTAAAACTTCGTATTAACGTTTGCTTATTTTTTCAAGTTCGGTAAACCTAACAAAATGATGCATGTATTGACATGCATACAATTTAACAAATGATGATTGTATTGACTGGCGAATACAAAGGAGGGGGTGGGGATTAGCCGCCAAAAAACTATCAAACTTTACATTTTTATTAATAAAAATTAAAAAAAAAAAGGAAAATAAAAAAAAAAATGCTGTTTTAAAGTTATACACACATTTAATATATATACCGTATAATCTCTCTAATTCGAATCTCCTTAATTTGAAAACCTCCGTAAATCGATTAAATGCAAAGTCACCGTGAAATACCCTTATGTGAAAAAAACTTTCTGTAATTCTAAAATCACTCTAATTCGATTTTTTATTTTCCCCATTTTTGTTTGAATTAGAGAGATTGTACTGTATATATTTGCCAATATATAAACATTGTAAATGATCAAATGAAATAGTTGTTTAACCTAAAAAATAGGGCCCTTTTTTTTGTTGTTGTTCCGACTATCCTCCATTAGGACTAATCAGTGACCTGGATCCGCTATTGATTGTATTGCTGAGTTAGTGGACGTTTTTTTTTAGTAAAACTTTTGTTTTTGTTTAGCTTAGTTTAAGTTAAATCTTATGAAAAAGATGCTTTGTATTACTAAATTAGTCTACGCAGCGCAAAGATACAGCTGCCGATTTTTAATTTAAAAAGCAATCTTTTATTCAAAAGATTGCCTGCCCAGGCCAAAACCCTCCGTCTATGTATGTACGTTCCACTACACCAATCCTTAGATAGTCAGTCGATGTATACACACTCCACTTCGCCAATTTCTAGATAGTCAGTAGACGTGTGTACACTAAATTTTGTTTACCCCTATATCAGTATACAAATATATATTTGCAACCTATAAAAAGAAACAATCAGATTTCGCTACTTGCTGAATTCCGATTGGTTCATTAATAGTCACAATGACTATTAGTGACTTTAGGCACAAAAATTAAAGCAACACTACCGTTGCGCTAGACACAGCGTTTAGTTAAATTACAAAACACCAAATTATTATTTAATTCCAATTTTTTTTTTTTTTTCTTCTTACTTTTTAATTTTATCGATAAAACTTTAAAGGTTGACAGTTCTTAGGGGGTGCGGGTGGGGCGGTGAGGAAGGAGTGATTTTAAAAACAAATTACCCCCTCCTAAACCGGGGGACGGGCTTGACGTGTCACAAGGGCCCAAAATTTTTTTTTGGGGGGAGCCTACCAACTGTCTGGCACGGCACTGATTGTTAGTCGTGTAATCCAACGTTATTCTCAAAACAAAATCGATCAAACATAAATCTGGTGGTGGAAGAAGGAAGGGTTTTAAAGATAAAAAACTACCCAGTGGGAAAAAAGACGTTGCAAAGACGTCTTTAAAAGTCTTATTTACGATGTCTTTAAGACGTCCTTTTTTAATCGATTATACAAATCTAAAAGACATCTTTTTTCGACATCGAAAAGACGTCTTTTTTTATCCTTAATCTTGTCATGAAAAGACATAAAATATGCGCCTTTAATACGCTTTTTTTTTAGTCTAATATGCAAATCTAAAAAGTGTTTTTTCTCGGGGTCGGAACGACTTTTTTGCCATACTTATTAGTATACTATAGTATCCTATACACTATAGTATTCCTACTTTTCATATATGAAAAGCTGTTTCTATCAAATGAAAATGATAATAGCTCTTCATACAAAGTATGACAAAAAGCTCATTCCTATGTCGAGAAAAAAAACCTCTTTTAGATGTCAATATAAAAGAAGAAGCATTTTCTACATCTTTCATATGTTTAAACATAGGAGAATAATTTATAAATAAAACAACAGTATTGTTCAACAGAATATTTTTTCATCTTTCTTTTTCTTTTCTTTTTCTTGAGCGAGCTCTTTTTCTTGGCGTTGCTGAATAAAATTAACAATTTCACCTTTCATACGAGCAGGTTACGACTTCTAGCTGGTTACCATTTCTAAAAAACGAGTGAACATAAAAAACAGTCTATTGCTTAAATGTAATACAAAAAAAGCAAACGAAACTTGATTAGCTGAGTGGAGCACATTATACTTACCAACTATTAATTCAAAAAGGGCTGATCCTTTTAATCCACTGATGTTTTTAAACATCAGTGGATTAAAAGGATCTTTTTGAACCCACTAGATTAGATTGTGACAGGAGTTAAACGGTAAACAATCTAAAAATATATAAAACTGAGTGTGCTAAATAAATTTACAACCATTAAAATGATTGTACAACGATGTATTTTATTATGTAGTACTTAAATCAAGCTAAACATTTGCACCTCTCAGATTTGCTATGAAAACCAAGTTATTGAAAACAGATATTGATATTTTTCTGTCTTCTATAACATGATTTTTTAATTGAATTTTGCTGAAATTAAGTGTTGTAGACTCATAATAATTTAAACAACGTTCTTCAGGCACAAACATTAAAAAATTAGTCTAAAATAAATGGTAAAACTTTTTTTAAACACTTACCTGCGACTAACTTAATTGAGACTACATCATACCGATACCATCTTACTGGCACCACGCCATCCACTTTTGCTTCTTCCGATTAACATTTTTTAGCTAAGCAGCAATTGTATATTTATTTCAGTATATATATATATATATATATATATATATATATATATATATATATATATATATATATATATATATATATATATATATATATATATGTATATATGTATATATATATATATATATATATATATATATATAATATATATATATATATATATATATATATATATATATATATATATATATAGTTATATATTATATATATTATATATATATATATATTTAGCTAAGCTGCAATTGTATATTTATTTCAGTATATATATATATATATATATATATATATATATATATATATATATATATATATATATATATATATATATATATATATATATATATATATATATATATATATATATATATATATATATATATATATATATATATATATAGTTATATATTATATATATTTTATATATATATATATTTTTAGCTAAGCTGCAATTGTATATTTATTTCAGTATATATATATATATATATATATATATATATATATATATATATATATATATATATATATATATATATATATATATATATATATATATATTCTATAATATATATATATATATATATATATATGCATTTATATTATGTATATTTTATATAGTATATTACTTTATTATATAAATTTTTAAATAAACCCGCTTACCGAAAAAAGTTAATTTTTAATTAAATTTCCTATGCAAAAACGTTTCACTTAAGTATTTTGTAAACAAAAAACGGGCCAATCAGAACGTAACAAAGATATCGTAATTATTTTTAATTTTTTTAAGCAAATAATGATTTCCTTAATAACAACCGATTGACGTCTTTTTGACCTCTTTTTTGAAGACGTCTTGTTAAAAGACGTCTTTCCACATCTTTATTTTGGCTGATCATAAAAAGACATAACAAGTAATAAAAAAGACGCCTTTTATTCGTCTAAAGATGTCTTTTTTCCCACTGCGTAGTTAGAAAACTGGTTCACAGTTTTAAGACTAACCCAAGCCTTTCACTAAGGAAGCGCACAAACATTTATGGACTTTCTCATAGTTGTTTGGACTTGTTCATGTTGTAAAAGTTCATAATAAACATGGTTTTCATTCTTTTAAAACACAAAAAGTGCGCAACCGATCTGAAACTCAACAAAAAAGTGCAAAAACCCGCTTCAGAAAGTTGTATCACAATTTTATTTCTAAAAATTTCTGTATTATTGAAGACGATGAAACTTATATCAAGTACGATCATCAGCAAATTGCTGGTGCCGTCTTTTATATTGCCAAATGTAGAGAAAAAACAGATAAGAAATTTAAATACATAAAACATGACAAGATTACTAAAAAAGTCTTGATTTGGCAAGCTATTTGCAGTAGTGGCAAAAAATCAGCACCTTATATTTCTCAGTCCACACTTTCGGGTCAAATGTATGTTAAAAAGTGTTTACAAAAACGCTTATTACCCCTCATTAAATCACACGATAGGAGATCTGTGTTTTGGCCAGATTTAGCTTCAATTCATTATTGTAAACTAGCTTTGAAATGTTATAAAAATTAATAATGTAAAATTTGTGCCTAAAACAGAAAATCCTCCAAACTGCCCAGAATTAAGAATTATTGAAAAGTACTGGGCCATTATTAAAAGAAAAATGAAATAAACAAAAAATTTTTGCAGAAATATTAAAGATATTAAAATACCATTTAAAAAAGCATCAAATGGCTTTAATTCTTATTCTGTGCACAATCTTAAGGGTACCACCAAAGCACAAGCTTATGGGTACTACCAAAGCACAAGCTTACGGGTAGTACCCGTAAGCTTGTGCTTTGGTAGTACCCATAAGCTTGTGCTTATGGGTACTACCAAAAAAAAAATTTTGAACTTTTGCTTTGGTGCTACCCATAAGCTTGGCACAAGCTTATGGGTAGCACCAAAGCAAAAGTTCAAAATTTTATTAGATTCCCACAGGAATAATTTTTTTTTTTTTTAATACTTGATCTTCTTATATTTTTGTATTAAAGTTATTACTTGGTTTGAAATAAAAATTGAAGACTACTTTTTTTTAGTTGTTTTTCTACATTCACATTTATTTCGTGTACACGCTTTAAATCAAGTTTAATTACAAAACTTAATTAATAAATAAGTTATAATATAAAAATTGATTAAAATTAATTAAAGATAATTAAAATTAAAAAAGAGCAAAGTTTTATATCTTTTTCTTCGGGATCTACTCACGCACGATTAGTTTATCGTAAAATATTATCACAAATTTGCCAAGCGCTCGTTCTTTTTTCTGTCCCTCCTTTTGATTTTTTTTTGTTTAGCAGGTATTGTTTCAGCGCAGTAATCTTCATTAATGTAACCTATCGTTTAATCCGTCAAATCTCAATTTATGGCCTTGACCGGTCTTGAACTTATTTTTATTTTGGCAAGTTCACTTTTATGTTGTTATTACCTTCTTTTGTTTTTTTCTTTAACAGTTTTAATTTATCTATAAGTACCACCGTTTGCCTAAATAATTTTTTCACTGCATTCTGCTTCCAACAACACAATAGATTTCTTCGTTATTCCTCCTTTGTGTTGTTTCTTTATCATTTTTATCAACCCAGTGTAGACACCAACAATGAAACAACGTTATATAACTCTCTTAGTTAGGAAGTAATAACTTTAGAAATGTAAAGGATAGATAAAATTAAATTTTTTAACGTTATAATGTTAGATTTTTCAACCCTAATTAACGTTGTAATTTTGATGTAAAAGCAACGTCTTTTTTAGCATTCATCAGGATTCGAACCCCGATCGCACTCTGTACAGTATTTCGCGTTTTCCACTAGACTTCACAAACAAGCTGTATAAAGTTTCAAAAAATATTTATATTATTAAATATTCAAAAAGTTTGATAATTCAAGAAGAAATATATACTTACATTGATTTTTAAAACACACAAATATTTACCTTGTCAAATTATAAACGAAATCCTCGTCAAAAAAAAGTGGAATGTTTATTAAATATAATACAAGTATAGCTGTTATAACGTTGTAATTCAGATAACAAATAACGTTAGTGTAGCCCAACGTTGAAATTTCGATGAAAAATAACGTTAGTGTAACTAGGGTTATTACAACGCACAGTGGGCCAAAATTCACTTTTAATGGACAAAATTAATAACTAACAAAATATTAGATTTTTATTTACTAAATTTGGCATCAGCACTAATATGAGGTCTGCGCTTGATATTTTTATATTTGGTTGCTATGCAAAGGACAGATTAGAATAATATAAGCATCTTAAGCGAAAATTGGAATATTTTCAAGAATAGTTATGCTGGATCCAAAATTTTTGCGAATAAAAACATAGAGGTTTTAAAAAAGTAGCAAAAAGTGCTCACTTACCCAGACGACTTAATATGAGTAAAATGAGCACTTTAAATTAGCTCAAAAAAATAATATTAAGTAAAAGAATATCTACCTGACAATTAGAACTAATTTTTGGAATATAATGATTCCTTATCAATAAAATTTATCATTAATAGATCAAATTTTAAGTCACTTTTTATTGAAACAATATTACTATGTTTTACGCAAAAAAAAAATTAAAATAGTTTTTTCAATTTTATTAACTCAAACCTTTGAAAGATAAAAATTCAAATTTTTTAGATTTAAGTTTCAGAAAAATATTTAGTATTGTTAAAATATTAAATTTTTTTACTATATTTTGCTTTTATTAAATAAGCAATTAAAACCACTGCTAATTTAGGACTTTAAACTAAAACTAGGTAATTTCAATTAAAATCACGGGTAAATTTGTGCCTGCTCATATTACACAAAAATAGCATCTTTAAATAAAGTCAAAACTAAATGTTTCTATGCATTTTCAAACAAAAATAAATTGGATATTTAGCTAACATATTTTTCTTAATGAAAAAATTAATTTTATTATTTTAGCACCAAAATTTCGCGGCAGAGATTTATTCATGCGTGATTATATTATTTTAACAACACAAAAATTTTAAATGAGATAATAGCCGCTAATTACTGCATATAAATTTACGCTAATATATCCTGTTTTCACCACATATAGTTGATTCAAAAAATGCAAAACAACTTAAACTTCACTGCTTATATCTAAGAAATCTTTAAGTATGTTCATTTACCAAGGTGCTCATACTACCCTCATCTACCCTCCCTAATTTTGCTTCGCGACAACCTATTTTTTGTAGTTGTTTTATGTGTACTATATACACTTATGTGTACTATATACACATATAATTAGTTTGTGCATTAATATGAGGTTTGCTGGTTTTATGAGGGGGATGTTTTTTATATGGTTGCTAGTTTTATGGATACCTAATTTGCATAGCAATAGCTTATTTTGGTAGTTGTAGATTTTTTTACAAGTGCTATATTCACTAAATATGGTATGAGTACCAATAAGAGGTCGCACTTTATATAGAAGTCATAATTTTTTTCATTTAGTTGTTATGATTGCTAAACAACCAGATACTTTCCTCAATTACACACAGATAGGGCAAGATGGAGGACATTTAGAATGCCATGAGTTAATTTAAAACTACCAGTCATGATACAGTATTACTTTGTCGGTATGTTTATGTTATCATAATGATTCATTGACTGCATAAATTTTTAGTTTGCAAGTAGAAAAAACTGGAAATAAAAATTTAAAAATTTAAAAGTTCATAAATTTTTGTCATCTGGTCACGTGACCGGCAAGATGACTTATGCCTTCATTTTTTTAAGTTTTTAAAATAAAACTACAAACTACTCTAACTAAAGTAACACAAAATAAACACGCGTCACAAAAAAAAATTCTAAAAAAATTACATTCCAAGAATACCATTTATTATAGGCCGGGTGAAAAAAAAAAAGCAATTGCTTTTACTTTGTAACTGGTCAGTTTTACGCGAATAAAAACTTTAGGAGTTTGAGACAAATTTTTATTCACGTAAAGTTAAGCAATATACTCAGTAATCAAGCAAAATTGCTAAAG